CACACGGCTCCGGGGTGTTAATAAAGGCCTTCTGAAACGAAACGATGCGTTAGAGTAAAAAACAAATATTAATTTTATAAAAATGTATAAACTGTAATCTCCAGCTTCCGGTCGCTCAAGCAGGCGTGTTCACGACAAGACGTTTGAGCGCATGACGTAGGCGTAGAGGAAGACACATCGTAAGCTCTGGGGAGAGAGTGACGAACACGGAAGAACAGAGGAGAAAGCAAAACAAAACACCTGTCATGAACTAGTAGTAGTACTAGCGGCGGCGGCACAAACTACAGATGTAGTTCACGTGGTTTCCCTGTGCAGTAAACAAAACTTGGCTCTCGCGAGACTACACTCTTCTCCCCGGAGCTTACGATGTGTCTTCCGCTACGCCTACGTCATGCGCTCAAACGTCTTGTCGTGAACGCGCCTGCTTGAGCGACCGGAAACTGGAGGTTACAGTTTATACATTTTTAAAAATCAATATTTTTTTTTACACTAACACATCGTTTCGCTTCAGAAGGCCTTTATTAACACCCCGGAGCCGTGTGGAGTAGTTTGATGAAGTATGGATGCAGTTTTTTAGGCTTCAAAAACAGGGGCACCATTCACTGCCATTATACAGCTTGGAAGAGCCAGAACAATTTTAAATATACCTGTGATTGTGTTCGTCTGAAAGAGGAATGTCAGATACGCCTAGGATGCCCTGAGGGTGAGTAAATCATGGGCTAATTTTCATTTTTGGGTGAACTATTCCTTTAATTTTCAGGTGAAAAATGTCCTGGAATTTTTGTTGCTATGTTTTTTTTTTTTTAGTAAAAAAAAAAAAAACCAAGCTCAGAAATGGTCACCGTTATGATATCAAAACACATTAAGGCAAAGCAAGTTTATTTATAAATATTATTTTATATGCATTGGTGCTTTACATAATAATAATATTTGTTATTTATAATACGTTTTTATAATAATCATACAAGTAATCAACATATGCATATGCATAAAAATACAAATAAATGTAAAAATCTTTATAAGAAGATAGAAGAAAAGAGAAGTGTACATACAATGATAATCTGTAGGATGCGGTGTTCGAGTAAATGCACAGAAACATATTAACAGATTAACATATGACTGCTTAATTTAACACCTTAATTTCACATGCAAAGCCATTAGCCAATCACAACAGATGTAATTTACATATAGAAGGCTAAGAGGCATGATAGGCAGCGAGAAGGTGGAAAATAGTCATAAAGAACTACATTATGATGCAAGAAACCCTGACTTATAAGAAACATGGCCCTTTATAAACATGGCTTTTGTCCCAATCTTCACCCACTTGCTGTACTTAATGCTTACGTTGTCTGTTCAGGGAAGTTCCAGACAGGCAGTGCCGCCCACTCTGCTGAGAAGGAACAGCTTTACGCCACTATCTAGTCAGGATCAAGTCAAGCGGCCCCGCCTCTTCAGCGTCGGCAACCCGCCCCGGCAATCAACCACCCCTTTAAAAAATGTAGCTTTTAAATTTAATCTAAATTATTTCTAAATATTTAATGCATTATTATATTATACACATATAATATATGTGTATAATATACACATATATTATATTTTTGTCACCTTTTTCACCATTGATGAGTTTGCATTCCTGCAAATACTGAAAGATATTTGATTTTATATTTTAAAAAGAAATGTCTTTTTAACATTCTTCATAACATTCAAAAAGTTTTTGAAAGATGTCCCTTTTGCCCACCATTTATTTGCATTTATTTGATAAAAAATACAATAAAAACAGTAATATTGCTAAATATGTTTACAATTTAAAATAACTATGTGAATATTTTGTGAATAACATATTTCTATGTGAATATATTGTAAAATATAATTTATTTCTGTGATCAAAGCTGAATTTTCAGCATCATTACTCCAGTCTTCAGTGTCACATGATCTTCAGAAATCATTCTAATATGCTGATTTATTATCAGTGCTGGAAATTGTTGTGCTGCTTAATATTTTTTTGGAACCTTACAAGTCTTACTGATCCCAAACTTTTGAACGGCAGTGTATATATACATGTGTATATATAGTATTTTTCTACCTGGAGTATTGACTAGTTAGTCGAGTCTCTCAAGGATTATTTATGTGGTAATCTCAACAGAGTAACCTTTGTGCTCTGTTTTATAGGAAATGCTGAACTGCTTCGGCCCGTCAGACTCGAAAGACGCCATCCAAGAGTGACGACACAAATAAAGCAGTGTGACGCCCGTCACAAATTAAATGTGTTCTCCAGACATGATTCAACTGTAGACGCCCGCTCAGAATCGGCACATGTGAACACTGCTTTGTGTAACGTTAATAGCGCCGGCGACGCCTCCATCCGCTCTTCTCAACCCTCATCCATCCACAAGCGTTTGGAAGTACGGTAAAATCAAAACAGGATGTGAGTCATTGATTGAAATACTCCATAATTAATGCAAGGGAGATTTTGAACAGATTGAGAGCATGTGGGACCCCAGCTGAACTGATTGAGTGGGCGTGGCTTGTGCCAATTAAGCTGATTGGCTCTCCTGAATCAGAATATTTAAAGACACAGCGCACTAAAATAAGAAAGAAGGGAACATTCAAGCACTCATTTTGATTGTCGTAGCATCTATTTTGCGCTCTTTTCTTAATACTATCTTAGTACTGATTGATTGACCCAGGCCAAAAGTTATGATTTTAGCTGTTAATTGTCTGTGATGTTCTTGGTGTTGTTATTTTCTCGTTTATATACATTCTGCTTTCTGGTTTTGATTGTTGTGCAGAATGTCATTGGATTTAATGAATGTCTTGCGGTCTTATGATGTCATAGGTCATGTGACAGAGCAAAATGTTTGTGAAATGTATGTTCTGCTGGTTTTTCTCCCTTCAAACTTGCTATAATTTTGGAAAGGAACATCAGGGTAGTTCTTATAAATAACGGTTTTATTTGTTGTAAATAACTGAAACTCAAGGAAACTTGATTCAGACTTTAAGGAATGTGTCCTTTCATTGTTTCATGAATCATTAATTACAGAGTTAGGTCTATCTTGTCAGTGATTTTTCAATGGATCTTTTAGAACGTTTAATATTACCGAGGATATTGAAACTCATACGGTTATATTAAGTTTTCATGTTTATTATCATTTAGATTATCTTTCATTATAAAATGTTATTTATACATGCTTTTATCTTGCCTCAGATCTGGAAGGATATTCTTAAAGGGTATATTAAACCGTTTTATAATTATAATTTGAGTTCAAGGTGTCAGATTTTTACGTTTCTGATTTTAGGACGCACAAAGTATGTTCTTAATGTGTGTTGAATGTTATGATGGCCTGTTAAGGACGTGTTCCTATCAATCGAAGGCTGCATTGTCGTTGCTTCGTGCAGCTTGTTATTCTTTTTTAATCCAAATATGAGTGTGATTGCTTGATTTGATATGATCAGATCTGTAAGTGCCTTTGCTTCGCTAGTTCGCAACCAAAGTGTAACCAAGTCCTTTATTTTAATGTAAGGTGTTACAGAAAATACATTTTGTGTTCTGGTTTCATTGCATCACAATATCTATATCACTGTTATAGTTATAACTAAATATATATGTCATGCTAATCTATTGATAAACATTTTGTGATCTAATAAATCAGTCGGTGATGCAAGTACAATTTTTTTCTGTCATTTAAATAGCAATTAAACTGTTATTTTACTATAATTTATATACTATTATAGTTTTGAATAAGATTTTATTTTTATATTTTCTGTTTTCACTTTATTTTTTAAAGTTTTAGTAATTTTGTTTCTGTTATTTGTTATTATTTTTTAATATCGATATAGTTTGTTATTTTAGTACTTCAACTTCAAATTCAACTAAAATGAGAAATGTTGCTGAAATATTTTAATTTTTTTATACTTTATTTTATTTCAAGTAACAAACTTTTTTTTTCTTTTTTACTGTTTTAGTTTTAGTTACCTATAATTACCCTGCAATTAAAGGGGTCATATGATGCGATTTCAAGTTTTCCTTTCTCTTTGGAGTGTTACAAGCTCTTGGTGCATAAAGTAGACCCGTACCGAAACGGTTCGGTATGAATACGTGTACCGGTACACCCCTATAATATATGCATTTAGTTGATATGCTTTGCATTAGTTATTTATTTATTTATTTTGTATTATTATTTTAATTGAATGTAGCCAAGCATTTTTGGTGAAAATTAACCAAAAGACACTGACATGAAAGTAAAAAAAAAAAAAATGTTCTGTGGTTAACGGCTGATTGAAGTTGTGGAGTAAGTTATGTTTTAATTTCCTTCGTAGTGGCCAGAGTCACACAAACAGCTCTGGTCCAGACTGGCCTGCCATGTGGAAAGGGTGGGTTGTTTGAGCTTCACAGACACAACATCGGACAGTTTTGCTCCCACAGCTCTGGAAAACAAGTAATGCTTTCCTTTTTTTAGAACATTTGTAGCTTGTCCTGAAACAACATCAAGCGAGTCATTCATATTGTCAATGGCTGTTAAAAGTATGTTTAAGAAGTGATAAACGGGTGAGTCATTTAGTTTTGGGCAGTACAGTGATTAGACGATGTTGAATTCTTGAGAAAATCATTCCAGTTTGTTATTTCCTGAAATGTTGATCCAATCGTGTTCTCTTCAAATCAAGGTTGCGTTTGCCAAACACATCAAAGTTGTGGCACATTTTGTCTCCACAGTAAGTTCATCACAACCTGAAGGTGGAAAAGATCCGTCAGGGATGAACGACAGAAACTGTGGCATCATGTATTAAAATGGTGCTCCACCCGAAGCGGATGAAGTAACGACTATGTCTTTCTTAAGATGGGGTGTGAGTGTTTTGACCCGTTTTACCGGCCTGACCTCAAACCGCCTGCTTGCCTTACTGGATCTCTATCCCAGAGGATGTTGTTATAATAATACAGTCAGAAGTTATGTGCAGACTGAGAATGTTAGGTTAGGTCTACTGTTAGGACTACTCGATCAAGGATGATGCTGAGAATAATCTTCTGTATTCCCAAGATAACATTTGTGTATGCAAAATGTCTCAAGGATGACAAAAGATAACTGTGAATGTTGAGGCTGCTGCAAGTCAAATAAAACTTTGCTTTATCATTTTAAAACCATATACTGACATTCTTGATTGAGTTGCTCTTATTTTGTCAAAATATTATTTTAACATCTTGTCCATAAACAATGTATGCAATGCAATACAACGTACATACAATGTATGACTTATGAAGGAGCGATAATACTCTAGTCATAGACATTAAACATGGATGAGCTTTTTTTAATGATATGTTGCAAAACCTTAACCAGTTTTGGGGCCAGTTGCTTAAACATAGCCACTTTTTAAGACTAGTGTAATTCAATGAATAAGTAATTCAATGTATATTGTTAGGCATATATATACACTACCAGTCAAAAGTTTGTGAACAGTACGATTTTTAAGTTTTGTTTTTTTTGGCGTATTGATTACCATTTGTATAACCAAAGTTTTACTACAAACACTATGGTTAGTGTAGCAAAACCATTGCTCATATGTGACCCTGGAGCACAAAACAAAAACAGTTTTGTGAATTTAGTATTTTGTCATGTCACTACATTGTTTAGAGCATAAGAAAAATTTTGAAAAATACAATTTTTGAAAAATGATATTTTATTCATATGTTATGCCATGTCCTCTGTAGAGGACATCGGGACTTTAAAAACTCCTGTTTTTTTTTTAATAAATAGACATGAAAAGGCAAAAAGAGCGGGATTTTTGTTTTAACCAGAAATCAATTTTCATTTTTTTTATACCAAACTTTATATAAAGACGATTCTCAACTATGTTATGAAAGATATTTTTAAAAAGGTCCAGGGTCACATTTGTGGTTACCATATAGTATGTTAATTAATTACTGGCAATTAAAAACAGCTACTAGTAACATAATAAACACTAAGCTAGTTAAGAGAGTCAAAAAGGCGTCTCGATGAACCTGCGTTCTGTTCGACTTAAATGTTGATATTATTTGAACGAGTCAGTCGTTTATTGTTATTTTACAAGAAGCAAACCTGATGCAAAAGTTGCTGGGAGTTGAAACTGAAATGAGGGCAGGCTTTGAGCTCTCGTGACGACAGCAGGCGTGTGTGTGTGTGATTTTAACGCAGTATTTGTTTGGGTTGAAACGGTACTTCAGTTCATCTGCAGTTGTCCGTGAATATGGCGCTTGTTTGGAGGAATATACTCATACTTGTGTTTGCGCACTTCGTTGGTGAGTAACTTTTAAATTTAGCATTAAATGTCTACACGACCAAACTAACTCCATATAACCATCAAACGCTCGATGTGACACGTCGCGTCTGCATTTGATACACCGCACCGCTATTCCAGCCAATATTTACACATATTATATATTTGAACTGATGACTAAGTAATCCTTTATTTCTATTTATGTATAAGCCGTTTTGGCAATATTCAGTGCTACTGGAAGATCAATGCATGCTGTGTATTCATAGGCATAAAGTTAAACATTGAGTTCATAAGCTATGAGGTGGAGTTGTTTTCTTGTGCATTCCTTAGAGATTTTTTCCCCTTAACCACAGGTTTAAAATAGATTTCCCTCCACCTGGAGTCTTACATTGCATTATATCTTCAAGTTAAAGGTCATAGCTACTGCACAGTTTACATTCAAAACACTCGGATTATTCACCTTTACACAGACTATCAGTATCATCATATTGGTAACTAATTAAGTGATTTAATAGCAAGCATATGCTATTTTTAGTATGACCGCCAACAAAACTGTTGAGGCAAATTATATAACTGCATTTTCGTTCACCTTTATTTTTGTTGTTGAGCTGTGCTTTGAAACTGTTTCAGTGTCTCATTTGTCTACTCGATGTGGCGAACCAACAAAGTATCCCGGCAAGCAGCTGCACAAAAGTTATCTCCATAAATTAAAGTTCAATCATGGAGAAAGAGTGATGTATACATGTCCCCCGGGTTACACACCCTCAGAAGGAAGTCCAACATCATGGTGTCTGCAAGGACACTGGACAGCCTTGAACCTGAAATGCCAAAGTAAGATGCATCTGTTTATCTGTGTCTCTAAAATATCTCTTTTATTCATTCATTGTACTCCACATTGTTATATTTTCTCATTTATTCTCACAGAGAAAAAGTGCAATGCGCTAGGTGACGTAGAGAACGGGCAGTACATTCGAGAAGGGCAATCATTTGGCGATAAAGCCATTGCTACGTGTAATAAAGGGTATTTGAACCTTATTTTCATTTTTTTAAATGTCTGCAGTCCATAAATTGGTGAAAACATGGTTAATTGATAATAAATAGAGCAGGTAGAATAAGTGTAGAAAGTTGCTTTTCTTTTTGTCTTGGTTCAGCATCCATAGATTGTTCTAGATCTCCTACTAAATGGTTTACTAAAGCAGGCCAATAAAGTTTCCCTTTCATGATGTTAATGACTTTTTTGCTCCTTAATATAATTGTTTTCTCATGCAGTTATGTTTTGAGAGGAGAAAGAGTTCGTATGTGTATGCAAAACGGTTGGAGTGGGATGGACCCCATCTGTGAGGGTGAGTTTTTAACCCTTTGTCATATTAAAATCATCACAAAAATGTACCTTAATTTTATTAAAACACTACAACGTTTCTAACGGTCACAACCACATTCTCATCAAAATACAATTATATCTTCTAAAAACCATAAACTATGAAAAAGTGTGACGCAGGAGCCATTTCAACAGACACTTACAGTGTATTAGATGTAAGAGGATTGTATGGCGGTAAATCCCTCTAAATCAGAGGTGGGTTTTCCAAGATTTGTAGAACTGGCTCTGCCGCTTAATGTCGCCCTCTAGTGGTTGATTCCTGTAATCAGATGTCATGATTTTGGCACAATCAGTTGTTTTTTTTCTTCTGGTTTAGTGTCGAAGATCATGTGTTTAGCACCTGCTGTGGCAAACAGATGGATAAAACCTGGAGAAAGGACACAGTACACACCCCAAGACACTGCAACCATTGTCTGCAGTGAGGGATTTGTACTGACTGGCTCGCCACAGGTCACATGTGGACCAGACGGCCAATGGCAGGGCTTGCCTGTGTGCCGCTCGAAAGGTAATTTATGTTGTTTTCACACTTGGTTTGAATACTTAGTCTGAACCTGATTTCAAATCCACTTCTTCCTCCAATGATGCATTTCAAGAGATACAAAGAATGAATGCTGCTCACTAAAAGCAGTTTCTTGCGCTAAACGTCTAACTCTACCCAGCTGGCACCGGATGTCAATTTTACCACAAATGTGTTGGATTCCAGCATTGGACAGATGTTGAATTTTGGTTGGAAATGAAAACTGGGTTGATGCCAAAACCCAATGTTGGATTTACTTAGACTTCTAACATTGGACAGGCATTGAGTTTTGATCTGAAATGAAAATCGTGTTGATGTAAAAACCCAATGATGGATTTATATCAACTTCCATTGAGTTTTGGTTGGGAAAAAAAATTGGGTTGATGTCAAAACTCAGTGTTGGAGAGACGTCGTATTTTGTTTAGAAAAAAATGGACAGATGTTGACTTTTGATTCAAAATGAAAATCGGGTTGACGTCAAAACCCAGCGTTGGATTTATATCAACTTCCACCATTGGACAGATATTGAGTTTTGGTTAAAATTAAGAAATGGTTGATATTAAAACTTCCACCGTTGGACAGATATTGAGTTTTGGTTAGAATTAAGAAATGGTTGACATTAAAACTTCCACCGTTGGACAGATATTGAGTTTTGGTTAGAATTAAGAAATGGTTGACATTAAAACTTCCACCGTTGGACAGATATTGAGTTTTGGTTAGAATTAAGAAATGGTTGACATTAAAACTTGGACAGACATTGAGGTTTGGTTAGAAATAAGAAATGGTTGACATTTAAGGGGCCATTTACACGACAACGTTTTCAGCCAAAAACTGAAAACTTTTTATGCGTTTTGCCTGTTCGTTTACATGACAGCGGCGTTTTGGGGACTGAAAACGCATATTTTTGAAAACGGGTTTCAAAGTGCAAGCAGTGTTGCCAACTGTTTTCAGTTGAAAGTAGCTAAAACTGGTAGCTAAATGTCACTAGATGACATCATAATGGCAAATTCACTGATCTATATAAAGATGAATGTAGATCAGTGGTCAAGATGAGAACTTAGATAAGGTTTGTCCAAGAAGTTGCTATATTTGTCCCTAAACTTTTGAAAAAGTCTCAAAAGGGGCAGGGAAGTCGTTAAATCTAGCTACAAAGTAGCTAAATTGGCAACACTGAGTGCAAGTTTTTGAAAACGCCACCGTTATAATTTCTGTGTAAACACCCAAAACGGGAATCTTTGAAAACAGTGAAGTCATGCGTGTCCATTGTACGTGTTAGGTATTTAGACATGCGCAGTACGTGTTGATTTTAAAGGCAAGCGCGAACAATACAACATATAATCGTCACTTTCCTACAGGTACTGTTTACTAACAAGGTGACAGCGCCAACTACTGGCCTGGCATACGTAATACAGCGTTTTTGGACGTTTTCGGGGAAATGTGTTAACGCGAATCGTTTTAAAAACGTTGTCGTGTATATGTGAAACTTTTTAAAAACGCAAGGGAAAAACGTTTACGTTTTTGACTACATCGTTGTCGTGTAAACGTAGCCTAAAACTTCCACCATTGGACAGATATTGAGTTTTGGTTAGAATTAAGAAATGGTTGACATTAAAACTTCCACCGTTGGACAGACGTTGAGTTTTGGTTGGAAATGAAAATCTAGTTGACGTAAAAACCCAACGTTGGATTTATATGATGTTATATATCTAATGATGTAATAATTTAACATTGAATGGTAATGTTATGATGTTTAGCAGACATTTGGTTATGGTCTGATAAGTAATCAGACTTGTGATTTTTTTTTTTTACCCAGTGGATTGTAAAGTGGGTGAAAAAGGAGCATAGGCCTGGGCGATAAAGTTGACTTTTGATTAAAAATGAAAATCGGGTTGACGTCAAAACCCAGCATTGGATTTATATCAACGTATCGATATTTATCGACGGTACACCTTCTTCGATATCGATAGAAAAATTGTTCGATATAGTGCACAATATAGGCACGTGCTATGAGTGACGCAGACAGCACACACAAACACATGCTGAAATGAGTGCTGTGCTGTGATGATGTAAGTGACGTTGTAGCATTTTAATGTTTTGTTAGTCTAGCTAGCCCACGAGATGTGCCGCTGCTGTGTTATGCATTCAAAATATTAGAGAAATATAGAAGCTCAATGCGGAGAAGATCTTGAATGGGTTAAAACCGAAACCAAGCCATTCACACAGAACGCATATTCAGCGCATTTTTTAGCCTGACAAATATGACTGCTGCACTCGCATCTCACACAAGAGATGTATAGAAAGCCATGCAAAGTTAAAACAGTTTAAACTTTTAGAAAACACGTCGAAAATTTGTGGAGGGTTTATTCCTTTTCTCTGCGTCTCATATATTTTTAAATGCAGTCTGTGTGAATGGCGCTTCGGCTCTTTGGATTAAGCAATGCATAAATACATGATGCTGTTTTGTTCATAATTGTTTAGGCAATTTACAAAATTATATTTGATTTTTATGAGTTAATTTAGACGTAATGCACGTTCTTTATAGAGTTACATCCTTGCGTTGATAATTAAAATGCGCTGCATTATTTTGCTCATTGCGCCCTTCTGTGGTCTCGGGAGACAATTAGACCTATACAATAAAGACCTATTTAATCTGCATATAAAACATTAGAAATGAGATATTTGTTTAATTTTTATTTTGTGTTTGACTGTTAAAACAAAAAAAATATTTGTTGTTTGTCAGGAGCACTTGTTTCATATCATATATTTGTATTATTATTTACTTTCCCCCTCCTCGAGATCCTCTTATAGTTGTAGATAGTTTTATTTATTTATTTTTTTTTTTGTGCCAAAAACTATACACTTTAGTTTTCTACCCTCTCTATGATCTTTATTTGATACATTTTTTTTTGCTGTCGTTGCTTCTTTAAGAAACAACCCGTTCGTGAATGTTGAAAAGTTAATGAATGAAAAGTTTTAGCAATTTAGTGTCAATAAATGCTGTTTTTGGACTGGGAAGACAGTTTTGAACTCCGAAAGTTCTTGTATGTGTTCATAGCACACACATTAATTTCTGTTATATCTCAAAAGACACAAATCTCTTTAAATGTGTTGTGTCAAAATTCACTTCACTTCAGTCTTTCTGCTTTTTTCCTCACCTTTGCTGATTATCTCAAAAGGTCAGTTTGCAAAGGTTTTGCTCTCAAGACTTGCTATTCCCAAGACATGTCCCACTCCTGATTTGGGAAAAAACGGTACAGTGAAAGAGCAGAAGTCTGATTACATGCCGGGACAGTTCATATCTGTCACCTGCAGTAAAGGATTCGTCGGATCTGGAGTTTTCACGTGTCACGCACACTCAAAATGGCACCCAAAGGAGCCAGTGTGTCAGTGTTAGTACAGATGATGCTTTCTGAATCATTGCATCACACAAAAGCTGATAATCTTCAATATTTTGAATATCGAGTCATTTTATTATAACATTAACGCCTTCAAAATTTGATCCTGATAAAGAAGAACATGTTCCTAAACAAATTCATGAACCCTCCAAGTTTGAACTTTAAAACCTTGAATGTCACATAAAGACACATGCTTAGGATAAAAATGTCTGCACGCATACATAAAATTGCTAATTGTGTTTTAAAGCAAAAATAATCATTTGTACCCTTGTTCATGTTCAGTGATCACCTGTTCAGCACCTGCTGTGGCAAATGGAAGGATAAAACCAGGATCTAGGGTGTACAAACCCAAAGACACTGTGGATGTGATTTGTAATGAGGGATTTGATCTGATTGGCTCACCAGTGGTCACATGTGGACCAGAAGGCCAGTGGCAGGCCTTGCTTGAGTGTCGCCCTAAAAGGATTTCAGCTACTGGTGGGTGCATTACATGGGTATATATTAGGGATGTAACGATTAACCGCGATCGTGATTAAAATGCAGTGGTTGCCTCTCATTTTAAATGGAAAGAGCACAGACAAAGCCTTAGTTTGTTTATATGAAGATATTTATTTTATTTGTGTTACTTATTTATTTGATTTGGGGCTTGTTTTAAAATTTCAATTTAGTTTTGTTATTTACATTTACATTATATTTAAATTTTGTTATTTAGCAGACGCTTTTATCCAAAGCGACTTACAAATGAGGACAATAGAAGCAATCAAAACCAACAAAAGAGCAATAATTTACAAGTGCTATATTAGTATATTATTATAGTGTTATATTTCAATTTCACAAAGAAACATGCAGCATTTTGTCCAAGCAATAATAAAAGGACACATTTAATTTATAATTTGTCTTAAATCTCATTTTGTTAAAAAAAAAAAAACCGTGAATCGAATTGAATCATGAGTTGAGTGAATCGTTACATCCCTACTTACAATGCATTCAAAGATATATATATATATATATATATGACATAACCTTAGCATTGCTAGCATCATGTTATTACATTTGTTTAGTTTTATATAGACAGTATGACTAAAAAATAGATTACTTACTTGTAGAACAGAATGACCCACTGGGCTGTTTTCTTATATATCATCTGTTAAAATATTATTTAAAATACATTATGCATTTTTATAATATAAACATTCATAAAAAAATTTTTTTTCATTTTTATATTTTTTTGTTATATTTGTTATATTTAAAAAAAATAGCTTCCACTATTCCATTCTTCACACTGGAAACTTCACACGAATTTATATAAATGGGTTGTATAGTATTGTGCCATTCTGAATTCTACAGTAAATGTCTACGAATGGAAATTTTGGTTCTCTCACAGGTAAATGTGGTCCAGCTCCGTCAATCCCTCATGCTTTCCCCAGAGACGGATCCTTCACACTGAAAGAGTATCCATCCGGTGCTCGCATTCACTACAAATGCAGTACAGGATACGTGCGGGCCAGAGGAAGCACCAGTATACACTGCCTGAATGGCCAGTGGACAAACCTGCAGCTCCGATGTGAAAGTACGCCAGAGGACTTTTAACTTCATTTGCTCCCACTTTCTATATTAAAGCATCTGAGGATTCAAAGTACCAGCCTGTATGTGTGTAGCTTCAAGAGAGTAACCATACATTTGTTGTTTTATTTTCTGTTATTAGTTTAGAATCATTTAGTTCTATAATAATTTATCATTTAATTAATCCATTTAATAAAATAGTCATTCATCACATTATTCATTTTTATTATATTACTTAGTTTACTTATTTTTCTTGCTCTTGCAATGCTTGCAAAGAATGATTTTCTTCCTCAGATTATCTAAACATTCTTAAATCAAGACACATTTACTTTAGAATTAAAATGTTTTGTTTTCTGAAAAAATTTATCAAAATTGAGTGACTTTGCTTAAAACAAGAAATGGGGTGAGGAAAAATAAATTACATTTTTACCCTATTGGCAGACATTTAGTCTTGTTTTAAGTTTAAAGTCACTTAATTTTGATGCTGTGTTGGAAGAATCAAACAATTTGTTTATATCAAAAGGGAAGAAGTGCGGATCTGCTGGAGAGATCTCCTATGGCCAATACGAGTACACAGGTGTGTCATTTGGAGATTCAGCTACAGCCATCTGTCAAGAAGGGTGAGATACAGCAGCAGTTATAATACTCGTGCATTCCCAGTTCTGTTTTTAGATATTCAGTAGATGAGTTTGTTTCTTCATCAGATTTGGAGAAATGTAGCATTGCATCACTTGCTCACCAATGGATGCTCTGCAGTGAATGGGTGCCGTCAGAATGAGAGCTGATAAAAACATCACAATAATCCACAAGTGATCCACAGCACTCCAGTCCATCAGTTAATGTCTTGTGCAGCCAAAAGCTGCATGTTTTTAAGAAAAATTCCATCAAGACTTTTTTTTTTTTTACTTGAACTGAATCACCTTTTTTATGTTATGTAAGTGAAAGACTTCATGCTGGGCATGTTGCCTCACATCTCATTACACAGCAAAGTACAAGAAATGTAAAGTAAAGCGGGTGGTTGAACATAAGAGTTAGCTGCTATTTAGTAAATGCTTCATTCAAAATGACTCCCCATTACATAATTTGACTGTCCCATTGGTGTAAAATGGACTAAAGTGTGCTGCTCAAGGTCAAAGGGGTTATAGAAAAAAGATTGTGGTTTTGTTAAAGGAATAGTTCACCCAGAAATGAAAATTTACTCACCCACAGGCCATACAAGATGTAGATGAGTTTGTTTGTTTGTACATTTGATAAATGGAGCATTACATCACTTGAACTTGCATCAAACAGGTGATAAAAACATCAAAATAATCCACACAACTCCAGTCCATCAATTAACATTTAGTAAAGTGAAAATCTGTGTTTGTAATAAACAAATCATTAATATAAACATTAATATGACATTTTTAAAACTTCAAACCACTGCTTCCAGCTAAAATATGAGTCCATAATCCATAATAACGCTTCCTCCAGTGAAAAAGTCAATTTCCTGTTGTCTCTCACATCAAAATAAGCCCACATATTTGTTTAGAGCTGTTTTGGACTGTGCATATTTCTCTCCTGATTCAGAGAAGCAGTATTATGGATAGAGGACTCCTCTATTTTAGCCGGAAACGGCAAGCTCAAGTTAAAGGGGTCCTATTATGCTCTTTTACAAAGTCTTGATTTTGTTTTAGGGGTGTACTAGAACAGGCTCTCATACTAGGTTGTTCGAAAAACACATTATTTTTCACATATTTTACATTATTACAACACCTCTCTTCCCAGTCTGGCATGAACGGCTCGAAT